TTGCAATAAAGTCAGCACTAAAATCCAGATCTTTTGTTTAGTAATTAAGTTGTCTTTGCAATAATTTTCTGTCTTTCAAATATTCCTCACTTTCTGGCCTAATTTTTAAAACTTTTACTACTAAATATCAATTAACGGCTACATTTTGAGCCCCAGTTGTTTACATTCAATATTAATTACCTATCTGGGTATGGGTTAGAACACACACAATAAATCTTTTCATAAAAATTCCTAGTGGTGTTCCCGGGCACCCTCCCAACCTTCCCTTCCATCTTTCCCAAACTTCAACAGCCCCTAAAAAAGCATAAAAAAGTAAGCATTTAAAATGTTTAATTTCTAATATTATGGTACATATTAAAAATTTCAATATAGGAAATGAAAAAAGGAAAGTGACCCATTATCTCACTACTCTGCTAATTCCTATTGGCTTTTTTTTCCCATGAAATACAAACAACACCATTAAAAAAAACTCAGATACCTCAGAAAAATAAACAGTATAAATAGTAAGTGGAAACTCTCCTTATTTTTTTAATGTTTATTTATTTTTTAGAGAGAGAGAAGCACGGGAGAGCAAAGACAGAGGGAGATACAGAATCCGAAGCAGGCTCCAGGCTCCGAGTTGTTAGCATAGAGCCTGATAAGAGGCTCGAACTCATGAACCAACTGTGAGATCATGACAAGAGCCGAAGTTGGACTCCCCAACTCAGCCACCCAGGCGCCCCTTCGAACTCTCCTTATTTTGCTGCCAGGTCTTTCTCCAAATATACATCACCAACAAATTCTTCTTTGTGTTTCCAGAAAACAAAACAAAACAAACAACTGAACAAACAAACAACAAATGTGCAGTTGTAGATGTTTTTCTCCGTGTAACACTATACATAATGTGCTTCCTTGCTTTTTTATTTTTTCTTAAAGATAATCTGGAATCTTTCAATATTACAACTTACAGAACTATTCCTTTTAAAAAAGCTTTATAATATACCATTTTAAGGATATGCCATCATTTAGTTAAGCAGCTCCCATTATTTCCAGTGTTTTGTTATTACAGTGTTGAATAATATCTCAAGCATACAACTAGAATGTTTTTCCAAGTGTATCTTCAGAGTAAGTACCTAGTTATAGAAATTATCTGGGAATTATCATGCAAGATTCCCCACCTAACAACCCTTTAATACTCCCTCTCTCCACTGCAGGTAGGATCTAAGCCAAATATCTTATCTTGATTTACCAGGGTATCCAGACATGGACTGTCTGTCTCTTTAGCCTGGCAGTTACTCTTAATTTATAACCTGGAGAAACACCACCCGTTAGTCCTTCAAACTCATTTCTTACCCCAGGGCCTTTGTACTTGCTCTTGCTTCTTATAACCTGCTGTGAGAGGTGGCTGCCTCTGTCATTTTGGTTTCAAATCAAAGATTTCTCCTCTGTGAGGCCTAAGGAGCTTAAATGAGCCCTTCACCTCCTTCGCTTCATACTGATTTATTTTCATCTTAGCACTTCACTCTACATGAAATTGTTCTGTCTTCCCCTCTGAAATATGAGCTCCAAAAGAGCAAGAGCCCTATCTCTTCTTCTCCACTGAGTCTCAACAGCTCAGAAGAGCACAGGCTCAAGGAATCTCTGGTGAATAAATGGTCAGAGGATAAACGGGTTTAAAATGATCAGAAAGGTGGCCAAATTGCTTTCCAGAAAGGGTTGCCAGTTTTTACTGCCACTGACAGTGCCTGAGTACCCTGGAAAGTGCTTAGCCCTATGAAGCATTTACCATTTTTTCTAATAGTCCATTTTATTTTATTTTATCATTTTTTAAAGTTTCTCAACATTCATTTTTTCTCCTTTTTTTAAAAAATGTAATTCACTGGGGCACCTGGGTGGCTCAGTCGGTTAAGCGTCTGACTTTGGCTCAGGTCATGATCTCACGGTTTGTGGGTTCGAACTCTGCATTGGGCTCTGTGCTGACGGCTAGCTCAGAGCCTGGAGCCTGTCTTCAGATTTGGTAACTCCCTCTCTCTCTCTGACCCTCCCCTGCTCACGCTGTCTCTATCTCTCTTTCAAAATAAATAAATAAATAAATAAATAAAACATTAAAATAAATAAATAATGTAATGTATTATCAAATTGGCTTCCATACAACACCCAGTGCTCATCCCAACAAGTGCCCTCCTCAATGCTGATCACCCACTTTCCTCTCTCTCCCACCCCCCATCCGCTCTCAGTTTGTTCTCAGTATTTAAGAGTCTCTTGTGGTTTGCCTCCTCCCCTCTCTGTAGCCATTTTTCCCCCTCCCTCTCCCCCATGGTCTTCTGTTAAGTTTCTCAAGACCCACATATGAGTGAAAACATACGGTATCTGTCTTTCTCTGCCTGACTTATTTCACTTAACATAATACCCTCCGGTTCCATCCACATTGCTGCAGATGGCAAAATTTCATTCTTTCTCATTGCCGAGTAGTATTCCATTAGATATATAAACCACATCTTTATCCATTCAGCAGCTGATGGACATTTAGCCTCTTTTCATAATTTGGCTATTGTTGAAATAGCACTGCTATAAACCAAGTACATCAGTATTCCTGTATCCCTTGGGTAAATTCCTAGCAGTGAGGACCCTCCACACCGTTTTTCAGAGCGGCTGCACCAGTTTGCATTCCCACCAACAGTGCAAGAGGGTTCCCATTTCTCCACATCCTCACCAGCATCTATAGTCTCCTGATTTGTTCATTTTGGCCACTCTGACAGGTGTGAGGTGGTATGTCTGTGTGGCTTTGATTTGCATTTCCCTTGTAATAGTCCACTTTAAAGGTAAAAAATGGAGACCTATCTCCTTTTTTGGAGTAATTTTTCTTTAGACACTGTTAAGAACAAATCAGATATTTGTTTCTAACATAACCTCACATCCATCTTAGAAAAATAAACAGGCAATTAAAACTGTTATTTAAGTAAGAAACATAGTGTGAATTTTTCATACTGGTTTAAAAATTGATGTGATGACCGGTAAGAGTATGGAATTTGAACATCAATCTTTTTAAGACAAAAAAAGACTTATCCTTATAATATACAGTAAAATGTTTGCTGGAATTTTATTCTTTTTTCACTTCCCTCCCTTTTTTCATGGATTTAATCAACCATTCATTCACCTTACAAATATTTATTGATTGCTTACAGTCCCAGGCACTAGTAAAATCTTTATCTCTCACCCATATTCTAGGCCAAGCATTTTGGCCTGGGTTTTATTTTTATTTATTTATTTATTTTCGACGTTTTATTTGTGTTTTAGAGAGCATAAGTGGAGGAGGGGCTCTGAGAGGGGGACAGAGGATCCCAAGCCAGGCTCTGGGCTGACAGGTAACCTGTTGTGGCACTCAAACTCAGGAAGATCACAACCTGAGCCCAAGTCCCAAGGTCAACTGGGAGATTAATTTACTAATCAACCAGGTTAGCTCTTGGATTTATGTAATATTTTACTGGACTTTGATCCTTTTAAAAAAATGTTGTATTTATTTTTGAGGGAGAGTCCGAGGATGAGCGGGGGGAGGGGCAGAGCCAGAGAGAAGGAGGCACAGAATCTGAAGCAGCTGACAGCTCAGAGCCTAACATAGGACTCGAAGTCTGGGAACTGTGAGATCATGACCTGAGCTGAAGTTGGAGGCTTAACTAACTGAGCCACCCAGGTGCCTCAGTTGTACTGGATTTTTCCAAGCTTTCCTTAATTTCTTGTTATTTCTTATTACTCTTTTAGAGATATTTCTCCCAGTTACCCCTTTTCAGTGATTCCAAGCACCCTGACTTTGAAAATACCCTCTCCTTGGACTAGAGGTGTGGTGGGGAAATGTGCACCCAAAAAAGGGAATTTTCTTCTTGGTCCTAATGTCCACCTAATTTTTAAAGCATAGGTTCCTTATTATATTTTAAGCTTACAATTACATCCATAGATTAATTATTAGATATCTCCATGTCATATATCTCATTTTTCTAAACTTGTGGAGAGTAAGTGGAGGAACAAATGGAGTAGAAAATCCTTTTCCTTCTGAGAAGAGGGGGTGTAGGTAGACACTGAGTTTAGGACATTGCTGAGATACTGGGGGTTCAGTAGGGTGTCGTAATTACACTCAGCCTTCCCCTCAACACGATTCTGTTGCACCTACTCGTGAGATATATAAAACAAAAATTTCTTTTTTTTTTTTTTACAAATAGTTTATTGTCAAATTAGTTTCCACATAACACTCAGTGCTCATCCCCACAAGTGCCCTCCTCCATGCCCATCCCCCCCGCCCCCCCACATCCATCAGTCCTCAGTTTTTGTCAGCATTCAAGAGTCTCTCATGGTTTGCCTCTCTCCCTTTCCCCCACCATTTCCCCCCTTCTTCTCCCCCTTGGTCCTCAGTTAAGTTCCTCCTAATCCTCCTATACGTGCAAACATATGATATTTGTCCTTCTCTGCCTGACTTATTTCGCTCAGCATAACACCCTCCGTGTCGCTACACATGGCCTGATCTCATTGTAAAACAAAAATTTCTTATGCGTATAAATAAAGTTTTTGCATTGGACCAGTTGGTCCAGTTCTTCTATCTGCTAACTTCCTTCCCCACTTTGTCTCAGTTCATTAACTCTACCTCTCCTCGCACCCAAATCTTCCACCTATCTTCTCTCCCTTTCCCGGCTACTAGTCAGTCTCCACTTTCCACCTCTTCATCCTCCGCATCCCCAGTCCGCTGGTGCCTGAGCACAGCTCCGCCGGCTGCCGCGCCGCGGGTTTACGTGAGTCAAAGCCGCGGGTGGGGGACCCCCGGGGTAGGGCAGGGGCAAGGAGGTGGGAAGCGCATTCCTTTCACGTGCGATCTCAGAGCAAATCTGCCTGGAGAGAGAGCTGGCAGGTTTGACTATTTCTTTCTCGTCCGGTAGCCAGGCTCGCGGGTCCGCGCGCCTAGGCGCTGCGCCCCGCACGCCGAAACTACATTCAAAGGCCAGGCTAGGCTGCCCACGAGGTTGGGATTGGGGACTGGGGGTGACCTCGGGGCGACTTCCTCCTTGGCGCCCTTCCTCCCCTCCCCTAGTCACCTTTGCGTCTGCAAAACAGCCCCTCAGGGCTAGAGGTCTCGCTTTCTCTAGCTAAGGGTTAATTTTCCGATCGCACGAGGGGGAGGAGATTTCCCTGTAGACAAGTAAAAAGGGTGATGGACAAACGTGCGGGCACTAAGACCGCAAGGCATTCGTTTCCTCCGACGGTGGTTGCGGACGCCGGGAGGAGGAGAGCCCCAGAGAGAGGAGCTGGGAGCCGTGGCACAGGCAATGCTCAACCCTGTATGTAGCTGAGAGAGGCTGGGAGAGGCCGGCCGCCGGAGACCCAGCGGCGAGGGGAAGACCTGGGGGGGGTGGGTGGGGAACACAGACAGGAGAGCACTCGAAATCAAGCGCTTTACAGATCATTTTATTTTGTGTAGAGAACACGTAGCGACTCCGAAGATCAGCCCCAATGAACATGTCAGTGTTGACTTTACAAGAATATGAATTCGAAAAGCAGTTCAACGGGAATGAAGCCATCCAGTGGATGCAGGAAAACTGGTAGGTGATGCTTTCGCGTGATTCTCTTCCCGGGAGCCCTGCGCGTCTCCGCGGTGCGCCTTCATGTCGGTATTTTCTGTCTGGGGCGTGAACGGAGCGCCGAATCGCGGGCAGCGGAGAGCGGGTGGCCGAGCCCTCGGGTCTCCCGGGTGCGGGAGCCACGGGGGCTGCACGAAGCGCGTGGGTCTGTGAGTGCCCCTGTGTGAACCGAGGCCACACATACATCTTCAACAGATTATATAACATAGAACATACGTGTGTCTATAGAGTAGATGTCTGCGCGACAGGGAAGGCGGGAGAGATGCCACGGTCCTGATTCCCTACCTGTGCAACCTTCTAGTTTTCATCTAGATTCGGGTTTTCTCCCTCGGCCTCCGGCGAGCTGAGCGAAAGGCAGTGGAGGAAGGACCCGATCCCCTGCTGCGTTTAACCCTCTCTCGCCTGCGCTCCCTGGTCCTCGCCCTCTGCCCATCCCTCGTGTCCTTCCTTTCTCCTTGCAGCCCTCCCACTTCCCTGCCCTACTCTCTGCCGCTCCCTGGCCGGATTTCTCCTTTCCTGGACCCCTTTCCCCGCGCGGATCCCTTTCCGGTTTCATGAAGAGGCGGAGGCGACGTGGGGGAGGGGACAATGAAAACGGTACTAAAAATGAATGAACCGAGCGAGTAGAGCCACGCCATTATTAAGTTTCTGTTTCACGGAGACGCCTTTTGGACACGCTCCGTTCTAATTCAGTAGGAAGCTGTTGATTGGAGCTGAGACACAGATTAAAAACCCCTCGGTCCGCAGAGTCCTTGGGGGCTCTTCCCCGGACAAACTTCCAGTAGGGAAAGAGTCTTTCTTGTTTACTGTGTTCCTTCCGCCAGTCCTTTTGAAAATCCCAGTGTGGGAGGCGATCCTATGTCACCTTGCAATATTTAACAGGGATGTGTGTGTGTGTGTGTGTGTGTGTGTGTGTGTGTGTGTGCGTGCTCGTGTGTGTGCTCATCTGCCTCTTCCTTGTAGACAGCTACTGTGGCAGACATTCCCTTCCTCCCTTTCAGCCCGGGTCTGTCGATCCGTAAAGTGCAAGCTCAACGCACCCGGGAGCGGGGCAGTGGCCTGCAGCCTCCTGGGTGCTCGATGGGAGGGTCCGGCAGAGGCGCTCCGGCGCCAAGGGATCCCGCCGGCCGCCGCGTGCTCTAGCGCGCGTGCCCTGCGCCGTCACGACCCGCCTGCCCTCCCCCATCTCATCAATGGGAAACCGGAGACGCCGGCGCGCCGGGGGTCGGGGCTGGCTGCTGCAGCCGGAGGGCGTGCCGCGGGCCGGAGCTGGTGGAGGGAGGTTCAACTTCCTTTACTCCGGTCCCCAGGAGTTGTTACTGGCCCTGGGAGGCTGGGCCGCCGCGCCCGCCTCCTCCCGTCCGGGTGGTTGGCCCACCCGAGGCCCACTGGCCATTTGAGGCTGCTTCGCGGCCGGGCCCGCCCCCTGCGCCCTACACGCGGGCTGGGCCCGGCGCACCCGCACCCGCTGCGGCTTGGCGGGGCACCGCACAGGATGAGGGGCTTGCGGGGGTCTGAGGGCCGCGGCCGGCCAGACCCGGAAGCCAGCTGGGGGACACGATCTTCTCTGAAGCTCAGGGAGTGCGGCAGGCACATGGGGCGCGGGGTGGCGCCCTTCCTGGCCGGGCGAGGCCGGAGGGGGCCGAGTGTGGGTCCGGGAGACGGATGAACAGCGGAGAGGCTCGAGTCTGGCGGAGGGCGCACACTGAAGGGGCTCGGCGCTTGGGGAAGCCGACCCCGCTCCGCCCCGGCGGCCTGGGGACCTATCTGCGGAGGCACTTCCTCCTCCGGCGTTGAGGGTGGCGCTGAAGGCGGGGTGGGGGCGGTGGCCCCAGGCCGCAGGCTCTGGAAGCTGCGCGGCGGGCCAGCCCAGGGGTCGGGTCTTCTCTGCAGCTGTTCGTCGTGTTCTCTTGCTCCACCGTTCAGCCCATCTTCTTCCCCCGGTCAGAGCTGTGTGCTCTGTGTTTTCCACTCTGCCTTGTCTCCAACTTGCTGCACCTTTATTGAACCTGCCTTTCGGGAGCTGGCGTCCCCTTCCGGTGGCTGCCCCCATGCTCCGTGGGCCAACCCTCCCTTGCACCAAAGCGGTGGACATTGCCTTTTATTTACTGGTTGCCTTTTCTCTGAGGCCACTTTCTGGTGCTTCTCCAGGTAACCATTTCCCGCCTCTTTTCTCCATTCACTCAACAAGTACACACTGAACCAGACAGGGCCTGGCCCTCACCAGAGCTGAAAACGGCAAAAATGCGCTAAGCTGTTTTCTCCTGTTGAGCTCTGACCAGGGCTTCCTACTAGCTCTTAACAGACCTTTCTAATGGCAACGTCTTTCCTGGCTTTTGTTTATATACATGAATATTTGCGTGTATGTCTGTGCCTCCTACCAGACCGTCAGCTCTTTAGGGCATGGTTCTTGTCTCATTCCACTCGTGATTATACGGAGCACGTGGGAGAGTGCTTGGTACGTGGCAGATGCTGGAGAAAATGCCTATCCATGAGTTAAAAATGATGATTGGTGCCCATTTTATTGCCAGCACTACCTGTTAATACCTGAAGCTTAACAGGTTTGGCCTTCCCTCTACATTTGAATACTACCTAGTAGTTATATATTGGGATTTTTCCCTTCCTGACTTTTTCTTTGTTGACCCTATGTTCTTAGCTTGCATACTGCAGTCAGAAAGCCCTGTTAGCTGTTACTCTTTCCTTGCAGGTCTACCTGACCTTGATTGTCGTGCTTTCTCCTTTTACCCCAGAGGATGTGCCTTTCTCCCATTATTATGGGGCCCAATTTTATAAAACCCTCCTCAGCCAGAATCCCAGCAGCAAAAAAGTCTTGAGCAAGGTGTTAAGAAAATGAGTTTTTTTTTCATTTCCCTTGTTAATGGGAGAAGGAAGCTCCATGACCAAGGCTTAGACCCTCTTGGGGGCAGAGGAAGTTTAGGAAACCAAAGCCTTACCTTTTCCAGGATTTAAACATGGTTTGAACTAGTTTCTAGAGGAAAAACACAATGTTGTGAAACATCTGCTCTGTCTCTTGAGCAGTCATTTGCACTGGTCCTTAAAAATGTCTTAGACATAGCCTCAAACAAACCTTATTAATTTGGAGATTTAGAATTACCTCTCAAAAATGAGCTACATGGTCTTTCGAAGTATTATGAGAAAGGCCAGGAGTGCTGTTTTGTCAGTACGCTGTCTGTACTACTTAGTATTATTTAAGAGAAGCTTAAATAAGTGTCGTTTATTAAACATGTCCTATAATCCCTATTCATTCTTATTACATATTAGTGTTATGATCCCCTTATTTTTGGAATAGTGCTTGTACAAACACCAAAGTGTTCAATTGTGGCAAGTTTACCAAGTTTATTGTTGCTTTAAGAAATTATTAACCCTATATTTATCCTAAACACAGGACAAATACTATAGACCTTTTTAATTTTCTAGCAAATAGTTTCATGTATAATAAATTAGAGAAGCAATTGAAATGCAAAGTAATAAATATATTCCCTTGAAGAATCACCCTGAAACCTCATCTTGAAGCTACATATCAAGTTAAAAATGCCTTGAGTAATATTATCCAGTATATGATATTTTATTAGACTAAGTAGAGATAGAGCAAAATGCATGCCTTTAGCCTCAATAGCATTTTTGACTCCCAATTTTACACTGAAAAGCCCCGTGATTTTACAACATTGAAAAGAAAGGCATTTTGTTCCTTAATGAGATGCCTGGCCTTTACCTGTTATTTTCACTAATAGCTGATTTAATTTATAAGTGCTGCTTGCAAGGAAGCGAAATCACGTAGTGACTGGTAAGGCAAGGCGACATAAAAATTCATTGAGTGAGAAGGGCAGCTGGGCTCTGCCTTCTCTTTCAGCAGCCTGCCAGGTTTGTGCTAACAGCGGTGGATGCTAGTTGCTCCAGTTGTAATTGTCTGGCCAATGATGATTATCTTCTGATGTCGGCTGACACCGTGTTCACCAATAGGAAAGCAGGAGGCCTGTGCTGACTGCTGTAACATTATGGATGTGAGGTGACGTCATCACAGGCCTTGCCTAGAACCTCATGAAACCCTCCCCCGCTCCCCTCTGGCATCCTTCACATATCCAGCCTTTCACACTGCTTTGTATATTTTTCTGACTTTCTCCTTTCCTCTCCCCCCACGGTGGTGTTGGATATAAGGGTTTTATTGTTTGTATTTTGTGCTCTGTATTTTAGGGTCTATAAGATGGTGTAGGAAATTTTAGGATTAACTATTATCTAAGAAAACCTTCTTACCTACACATTTGTTTTCACTAAGGGAAAAAATGAGAAGAAAAACTGTTTGAAAGGAATTGCATATCTATACCTTTTTATGTGCATTTTAGAAGGTGACATGATGTACAATTTCCGTATTAAAGAACATAAAAACATTGTTAAGTCTGTGTGAGTATATTACTCAATACAGCATCATTAAAAACGCAGGCATAGTATTAAAGCTGTTGTTTTTTTCTGTAGTGACAACTGTTCTGCATCAATCCCTAGAATCCTTAATATCTGCTTTATTCATTTATAAGAAAAATGGCTGGGGAATAGTGCAGTCTGCTCTCATGAAAGAGGAAAAACCAGAGTCTCATTTAATCTGCCACTACAGCAAATATAAATCTGGTCAGCTATCTAGGAAAATACTATATCCACATAATACTCCTGTTTCCTTCCACTTTAGGGAATCACAGCTCATATTAGCCTTAGGATTGAAAAGTCCTAAGTGTGAGGAATTTAGTGTGTCATTCAATAAACTTTAGAAGTACTGGGATATTGGCCTAATATGCACTAGTTTAAGAATAAGAAGACTGAGGGCCGCCTGTGTGGCTCAGTTGGTTAAGTGACCAACTTTGGCTCAGGTCACGATCTCATAGTCCATAGGGTTTGAGCCTGCGTTAGGCTCTGTGCTGACAGCTCAGAGCCTGGAGCCTGCATCAGATTCT